CGCTCTAGAGGCATGGCCTTGGAGGATATCACTGACTGTGGACGGTAGAATATCTCCACCTTTAAAGTAATACATAACAGAATTAGTCAGTGCGAAAATGTCGTTTTCCATTCCGCATGGTCTACATAAGTAGGATGCGGAATATAACGCTTATTGAAGTTAATGCACAGTATTGCACATATTAACTAATATATATATATATATATATATATATATATAGGCATATGAGTGTGCGATAGACTTACCTCCACGTGCTGCACCATGGGCAACGCATACTTATACGACAAAAAAGTCTTTTAACTGGCAGTTGACTTCTCACTTCAAACTACCATGATCCCACTGTATGTCATATTCTACAACTTCCGCAGTACTCATCTCACCTTTTCTCTGCCTTTGTGTCTGTCTGTCTCTCTTACATCTGTGAATCACTCTTCTGTACCCTTTCTCGAATTTTTCTCACTTTGAAGTTCCTCCCCTCCGTGAAGCCCGAAGTCAGTTAAATGGCTAATTATAACGATTCAAAACGCCTGCCATTTGAAATAATGATATATACAAGCATTTAATTATGAGAAATATCTTAAAGAGAGAGATGATACTTATAGCATTAACTTAAGTATCCGTTTGATAAGTTAATGACAAAGAAATTACATTGAGCCAATTTATTTTTTTGCAGATCGGCGAATTGAACTTACGATTTAAGCTCCATTATTGGAGACCCCATTGCGTTCCACGACCTATTGAATGCAATATTGAAACACCTTGACCGCAAAAGGTAATCTACGATCTACGACTGCCCACAATTCCCCCCCCCCCCCCCCCACCTCCTAATTTAACACGATTACAACACTAGTGAAACACCAGCACCAAACAACAGATCACCGGTCCCATTAATTCAATTCTACAGTGATCTTCACTATTCGAACTCATTTCATTTGTGCTCTGATTAACGTAGACCGCAAAAAAAGCTCATTCTATACGCTTCTCTTCTTAAAAGTACAAGCAATGATTTTATAAAAGGAAACACCAATTAGGACAATCTTATGTGGATTAATGGTACACAACCAAACTCGCCTCTTCATTCGCCATGGAGGAAAGATCAAGCGGCCCAAAGGTGAATCTAGCAGTAATGATTTGTGGTTGACCCTCGAGGACTATAGCATCATTGCCTCGATGATTTGGATTATTTGCCTACAAGGAAGGAAACATCATGCAGAGATAGTTGAAGGTTAAATCTTCGTTTGTATTGACAACACATAGCACAGCAATGTAAAAAAATAAAAGGTGTAACCTAATAGAGCAAAACAATAAAACTCACAACAACAAAGTGAATCGATGAATTCGAGACTTTCGTCTACCATTTGCAAAGTGGAGAAGTAATTATGTTCAACAAAATGAGATAGAGTTAAACAAGTTACTTTTAAATAAACTAAAGAGGAACAATCTACGATTGAAGCATGCATGGGTGACACACTACTGATAAGTCAAGTTCATTTTAAGTAGTAAGGGCATTACATTTCGAATGCACAGGAACGTACACTAACTAGGTGAGAATGATGGCACATCTAACGAGCACTGTTAAGTCACTAAGGCTAGAAGGTTAATTTAGAGAAAGGAGGAAAGATAATGAGTAAAATTGAAACGCACTTGGATATCAGTACTAGAGGGCAGAGCACGACGTTTTTGAAGGGAAAAACACAGCTGAAATTGGAAACATTGATTTGTTTGTTGGCGTTAAACTAAACTACACTCCGATGACTTAGAGGCACCACTTTTTATGGCATCGGTTAACTGGGAGAAGGAGGAGGGAGGGGGGGGGGGTTAGTGTCGAAAGCTGCATTTTTATTTAAGGGCAGTAGGGTGGTGATAGGAGGAAAAGAAAGCACAAACACGCAGACACACAAACTAACATAAAAAATTCTCCTCCTCTAACGAGAAGAAAAGAAACTAAAAAAGTCTTTAGGACGACAAAGACGTGTACATTGATTTCAAACTCACCATCGAGTAGGGAAGGCAAGATGACTAAAGAACAATGTGGAATCTCAAAATATATAAGCAACATTAACGAACCGTGTAAGGAATCATTGTAAAAGTAAATCGGCACAATAGAATTAGTATGAAACGATATCGAATTAGACAATAACATATTTTCATTGAATTTGAAAATAATTCACAGATTTGCGCAAAGTAAGTACATCCATCGGGGTTTCTAACAAACGCTACTTTTGAGATAGCGATTTACTGGCAAGTAGTAAGCTCCAAAAAAGTTAAAACAAGAGACGGTAACGCAGTAAAATAATATCAAATAAATCGAAATGTCCGAGTAAATTGGAAATTTATTTAGATTCGAAATCTTAGCAGGTAGAAAATCACAAACTCCCCACCCCGCCCCCGCCCCCCCCCCTCCCCTCCCCCAACCCTATCATTAAATTAAACAGGTTTAAAAAGAGCCAGCCAATCAGGGCTGAAAATCGCAGACAGGAATTTAGTGCATTTTGGGGACGAATCGCAAATTCTAAGCTTCTAACGTGAACTACCTGTTCAGTAACCACACTTCAACTGCAATCGAAAAAACTAAGTGAACTACAACTTCTCAGTACCTCATCTTCCCACCTCTATCACTTCCTAAACTTTCCGTTAACACATTTCCACCGCTTACCATAGACACGAATTGAGCAACTTTCGCATTTCTACGCTATTACTGACAATACTAATGCACCTTCGGCAGTGCGTCGTCGCAAGTCTCTTCTGCAGCTGATCTGACTAATGACGAGAGCGGGGTCTTTTGCAATGACCTTTGTCAGCTACAACGACTATGAACAATAAATTCAAATTGCTTTGATTAAAGTCCAGATATAAACTGAAATGCGGTGCAGCCCTTAATGTTGAATGAGTTTTGGCTGATAAACGGATTGGAAAGAATCGAACTACTCCCAAAGAAAGCCAAATGATAAAGTAAACCAATACCTTGGCCTTCTCAGTCACCTTGGTCTTGAAACGCAGGCGATTAGAGATGGAATTTCGGAATTGGCGACTGAGTCCGCTGACTCCATTGGCATTCATAGAGGGAGAGGAATTGCAAGTGCGAAATAGTGAGGTGGGCTCATCATCGTTGGTTTGAATACGACCGTCGCAAAGACCATCGTCTGCTAGACAGACGCCGTCTGTAGGCTCGACTGGAGGATATGGATGAATGACAGTTTTACCGTGGAGTCGCTCTGCAAGCTAGGATGCAGAAAAGGTAAAAAATTAAAAAGTGGGGTTATAAGACATGGCAATTTTTCTCAATTATCGGATTTCTTGTCCTCATGGAAAAAAATTAAACTCTGACAAATGATTAGCGACTAACTTAATCGTAAGGACATACTCCCTCGCGAATATAGAGACATTTGAACACGCCTACTGGGTCAAAACAATTGGCATCAATTTCTAGCAGAACAACTACAAGCACGAAATTTGGATAGAATCTTGTCGAGCCCTAAACAGCTGCAAAAGTGTACCAAACACGAACTCTTCTGTTGACCTCCCCCCCCCTCTCAATTTCCAAAAGTTATCATCGAGAGGATCAAAATTTAAACCCGATCCTACCATATTTCTCGTCCCTATCGAATAAATATGTACTTTTTCCCATAAAAAACATGCATTGACTACACTAATTCGCTTAATAACCTCATTTAATAGTACCTATATATTAATTACTGGGTGTGCGATAGACTTATCTCCACGTGGTGTACCCTGGGCAACGTATATTCATACGGCAAAAAAGTCTCTTAACTGACAGTTGACTTCGCACTTCAAACTACCATCACCTCACTCTATGCCATATTAGACTATTTCCACAGCACTCACCTCACCTTTTTTCTACCTTCGTGTTTGTCTCTTACGTCTTTGAAGCACTCTTCTGTTCCCCCCCCCCCCCCATCATTTGATCACTTATGACAGAGAAAAGACGAATAATAGTTGAAAGGATAGACTATAGATTTGTTATAGAGTCATTTAAGATACTGACGACTATCATTTTCTGAACCAGTAGACATGTTTAAAAGGAAATAAAGCTTAGGGCTGTGATGATTAATAATTTATTAGCATAATAGGAATAAAATTGGGTGCCTTCAAACAGAAAGTGAAAAAAACGACTGTCAGCACTAACAGGCTACAATAAGGTGCTGTATGGCTAATTGAAACAAGAAAATTGTTCACTAATTTAACCACATTAATCAGCGCTATTGATCATAATAACTAATAGTACCAGATGTAAACGTCTAAGTCTTTAAAAGGGGAATATTTGCTGACACTGGATGGATTTCCCCGGCCAAGACACATGCATTCAACTAGTTCATAATTCACTAGTTCTAGTTGGATAAATCGTTCAATGAACGCGAGCTGATAGGCTTCGAAATGAAAGACGCAAGCGCTGACCGATGCGCACCAGGCGTACCCAACAAAATGACAAATATACAGCATTAGGATGAGAGTGCTACTGTTCTCCCGACTCCACCTACTCCTCTAGGATTAGAGCAAAAGTTTACAAAAACACGAGTTGCAAGGCTTGAAAATTAACAACGCATTTAAAAACTCAGCTCCAACGAACGTAACACACGAAGATATCAAATTATGGTGCTATTTAAGACGAAGGGATATCAATTGAAAATTGAGCTATGTAAAACCTTTGTTTGCAAAATCGGAAGTTTCGACTTTCATTTCCTGATTCACCAATACGGAGAGCTAAATATTTTCCTGATCAAATTGTGCGTTTGCTAAATAGAGAAAGAAATAAGTATTGCCAAGATGAAGCCAAAAAGATGAGAGACGTTGTACGCGGAGTTTTCCCATAGTATTGCCATAATTTGCTTAGAAGCTATCAAAAATAAGTGGACCAAGATACCGAACAAAAAAATTGAATTTAGAGGCGTTCGAATTACTCCTATTAACCAAGAGAAACGAAGAGAAGGAATACATGTAGCAAAATAATAACTTTCCTTTTAGCAAAAAGTAAACCTATGGAGGAGAACTGAGCATGGGATAAATGGTTGATTGGCCGGATGTCCAAAATTAGCAGCAATGAACTCTTCACTCGCGGTAAAAGTCCTAAATCCACAGTTCAGTTCATGTCCAATTAACTAGAGTGCACCGAATGTACTCTCTCTCCCCCCTCCCCTCCCTCCCTCCCCCCACCCTCTGTGTACTCGATCGAATTTGCCGAAAATAAACGTTTAAAGGCAATAACGCCAATGCATCTGGTGTGAATCAGAACTAGAACATGCTCATAACCCCAATTTATTATTAATAAAACGAATGAAACGCAAAGAAATGCCTTTTATTGATTTTCATAAGTAAAACGGCTCATACCAACCACAATAGTTTTTCAAAGGAAACACCCGCCACATATTTGCGTCAAGAACGCTTGAAACATTTTTTAAATCACTCTTGCTTTAATTATATTACGGCAAGATAACAAAAATTCCTCCGTAAGTAGATTTTTGAGACATAAAGAGTACTCACAATAAGTCCTGACAACTAGTAGCGTCCCAGCGTAGAAAAAAAAGAAGTTCATCAATTCACCAGCAACATTTAGAATTTTTGATGAAACTCACACCGACGCATCGCATGGCCATAGGAAATACGCAACTGCAATTAATAATTCACATCATGCCACTTCACAACAAATATCCCGCCTAAATTTGAACTCCGCGTGTGATTTATTTATTCATTTATATCAAATGGCACGCGTTTTGATGGTTATCATTAGCCCTTTAGTTGACTTCAGGCTTCACACAAAGGAAGAACATCAAAGTGAAAAAAATTCGAGAGGGGGAGCAGAAGAGAGATTCAAAGATGACATACAGTGGGGTCATGGTAGTTTGAAGTCAGAGGTCAACTGCCATTTAATAGGCTTTTTTGCCGTATGAGTATACGTTGCCCAGGTTGCACCACGGGGAGGTAAGTCTATCACGCACCCCCACTCCGCGTGTGATAATACAATTATCCACCTTAAGAAGTCAGGAAGCTACTTTGGGAGAGAGGGAGAGAGAGAAATCAAACATTTTTATGAACTCACATGAAAACGGATGAAAAACAGTCACTTTTTCTTTCTTTATTTAGGTACGCTTTCAACAATTAACTGATTTTAAAGGAGAACTCTTATCGGAGTAGCCATTTATAAATCGATCCGTGGTAGAAATTATTTTCCAATTGCTTTGAAAGAAAGAAAGAACATTAAAGGTGCGCGCAGCGTCGTAGCGCTTTGTGATGGCGAACAATTTCGGGAGAGTAGAAAAAAAAGAAATCAAATTATGAAAGAGAGATGGGAGGAGACTGCCATTCATACACACACACACCGTGTGTCAAGTGCACAAGTGGAGGCACAAATGAGAAACAAGAGAAGAGGAGCAAAATTACTTGTTTAATGAAAATTGGGAGGCCACTTGACAATCACGAAGGAGGAAAAAAGGGAGAAAGGATAAGCATGGGGTTTTGAAAAAATAGAGCTAGTGCGACAGCTGATATTGCCATCAAAAATAGCAATATTAAAGACGTGTGATAAGCATTTTTTGACAATATTTCAACAAATTAATGTCCTATCAATGTTTAGCGAGAAAAATTCATTCAACCCATATCAGTGATGGCAGTTCAATTATCCACTTTGAAAGCTCTGTTGGCTTTTAAAAACACATTAAGTGTCTTAAATTGGCAGTCCTTGACATGATTCAGCCCAGTGGTCAATCAAATTTTCAAAAAAAAAGAACTATGCCCATGGAAACTGATAATAATACATTATAATAACTAATATTATTTCGGATTTCTTCCATTGGAGGAGATAGAATTGATTTAGAAAATACGAATGAATGAGAACTTAGGATTTTGAAAGCCCACATTCATAGCAAATATTGTCCAGTCGCCAACAGACCCAAATTCGAACTAATAGTCAATCTGGAATATATTAGGGGTGACTGAGAAGAGGAAAGGTAAAAAGATATCTCTTGGGGCAACTAGTTGGCCAGTGTAGCAAAAGGGAAAAGGGGCAGAGGCACATTTTCGAGGGGGGGGGGGGAGTGGAGGGGAGACAGGGGAGGAAAAATAAATGTAAAATATGAAGAAAAATGAAATAAATGTCTATTTCAAGACTAGACAGTAAATTAGAACAACTAGGGACAAGAAAACACCAGAGGAAAGGAAAAGTTAAAAAATATTTGAATTCAAAATTGTCTTAAAGTCAAAGGAGAATCGATCGCTATTCAAGTTAATGTAACAAACTTTACTCTCAACAACACCAATATCCTCTCTTCTCTATTTTGATACATTTTTGCACTGAAGACTGCAGGGAGAGTTGATTTTTTTCGAATCTCTCACCACATTTTTTTGGCAAAATGCACCAAAAAGAGTAAATAGAGCACACCCACCTGCCAGAGAATGAAGAAACTGGCGTCCTTGGACTCCCAATAACTCGAATGGACGAGAGGAGGAAGAGCCCGCGAGAGAATGTTTTGGACAGCCTCAGGACAGTGCAATCCCACGTCTATCCGACTTTGACCCCACCAAGTGCATTGCCCTAAAACAACATAGCACAAAGATACATGCAAAATCAATTATTTTCCAACGCAGAGATAATCAATTACATTAACCACTGGACCGATGTGTTCTTGCATTAAGCACCCCCCCCCCTCCCCCACCTCTTTCTACCACTAGATAAAAGGCAAAATGACATTTTTTTAAAATCGTATATAACATGAATAAGTTTTTTTACTAGGAGAAAATGGGAGCACATATTTTATATGAAATTCCAGTTGAATATATAGCACAGAAAAACGTTTTTTATAGAACAGGCGGTTTTTGGATCAGCCTAAGCATATATTTCCACAATTAAATTTCTCCAAATGTTTCCCAATGAAAGAAAACCAAGAAGCCAAATCAAACGACACGGTATTTGCCTAATCTACCGCAACCAATCATCCTACGACCCCTCCAAATGAGGTACAGCACTGAATATATCGCAACACTGGAAGCAAGAGTTGTAAACTTCATTTACACCAAATATACGGATGGTGCCAAAAGTTGGAGGCTCATTTGGAAATGATGAAAGAACAAAAATGAAAACGTGCTAGAAAAAAAAACACCAAAACGTATCGCAATATAAAATTTCATATTATTAACAGTCACAAGGAGAGAATGCTATTGAAATGAGTTATATAACTTAGCTGCAATTATTTCTGCTATTGGGTGAATGCCAACCATAGTATACAAAAAGGTTAATTTAAAGATCACCTTGTGAAAAAGAAACATTCAAGATTAATATCAGTTGAATTAATTTTCCTTCGTTTATCAAGGCAAAAAAAATCCAAATTAGATACCCTTGAAGCTATCACGAAGTATACCACCGACGTTAGTGATTACAATAACCCGGGAATCCAGGTCCCAAACACAATATTATTATTTCAAAAGGCAGGCGTTTTGATAGTTATCATTAGCCTTTTAGTTGACTTCGGGTATCCTAGAGAGAAGGCAGGGAAAAGGAAGGATGAGTATTGTGGAAGTGGTGGAATATGACATACAATGGGGCCATGGTATTTTGAAGTCACAAGTCAACTGCCGGTTAATAGACCTTTTTTGCCGTATGAGTATACGTTGGCCAGGGTGCACCACGTGGGGGTAAGTCTATCGCACACCCCCCCCCCTCCCAACACAATGTTCTATTTAAAAAAACAAGATGGAGTGAAACTTGAAACTGGCTTGACATAGAATTGAGTTAAAACCAACTATGCTAGCTAAAGAAAAAGTGTGAATGCCTGTCAGGTGATAACTCAATGCTCATTGTCATATACACTGCAATGTTGATGACCAAAGGAACCGTTCATTTCTAGGTCAGTAAGATGACAGACGAAAAAGAAATTACTCATAAAGACCAACTCATGGTAACACCGAGTCTATACGCTAATTGATATTATCAGGAAGTGCCTTTTAAGAATAAAACAAGTAATTAGCTATTAAAAACAACTGAGACATGTCTGGTGTTTATACTTTTTCCACATAATTGTAAATTGGAAAAATACAGTAAGATGTTATTTAGTTCTATGCGTCTTTCAGTCCTTTATACGCATTTTCCACTACACTTCAGATGATTAATTATTGAATCGGCATAAAAGGGAAGCATAGAGTAAATTGCACGGTTAAAATAAGTGCAACATTATCATTAAATACAGAGAATATGCACTTTTGCGTCTTAAACTACAAACACCAATTATATATCAAAAGCAACATGGTCACATGTGAATGTGATGGCTTGAATGAAGGCATCCACACAGTAATGCGCGTACAACAGTTGTTTCCGAAGAAAATGTTTTTGAGGAAGAAATTAGGAAAACGTATAAAATCGTAAAGTATAACAGAGAGAAGTAGCATAGGCGATACCTTCAAATCCCTACCAGAGCTTACACATTCAGTGATAAGAGACAAAAAATGGTAAATAAATTAACCTTTAGTCAAATTTCATCATGCGCGAACACATTTCATGTAGCTCAGGTAACTTGTACTTTTAACTATCTCGTTTCCGCTATGAGAAGGTAGTAAACCGTTGATTACCAGGTAAGAACAAATTTCATTCTCAAGCATTGAAGGAAAATGAAATGAAATGACAGCACCGACTGCCAACAGAACTAAAAAAGCCAGCCAATCAGAGCTGAAAATCGTAGACAGGAATTTAGTGCATTTCGGCGACAAATCGCAAATTCTAAGCTTCTAACGTGAACTACCTGTTCAATGAGCACTCTTCAACTGCAATCAAAAAAACTAAGTGAACTACAACTTCTCAGTACTTCCAGACGTTGGTCTTTAAACAACTTCATCTCCACACCTCTATCACCTACTAGACTTTGTCTTAACCCATTTCCACAGCTTATCATGGCCATAAATTGCCTAGCTTCTGCATTTCTACGCTACTACTAACAATACTAATGGACATTGAGTAGTGCATAGTCGCAAGCCTCTTCTGCAGCTGATCTGCGTAATGACGAGAGAGGGGTATTTTGCAATGGCTACAATGACATGAACGCTAGCCAACCTCAATAAATTTTACTTTTCAATGACACGTATGCTCGTAGTTACATGTAGTACCCAAATCCAACAATTAAAAATTAGAAAGGCGTTCGAATTCTCCATCAACGAGGATCAAAACGCATCCCTCCTTCTTAGGTTCTTGAGTCGGGGCAGTGGGCAAGAATAAGAGCCATCGCTGGAACTTGAAATCAGGTGGGATAACAGTTGGCTGAGGAGACATTACCCCCTCAATGTTTATGAATCGCAAGTTTAATCCACTTCCAAAAGGACAAATATTTGATAAATTCCCTGTTTAGGCCAGTTATGTACTACCAATCTTTCTATGCAAACAATTACTTGGATATTTTTGTAGATGGTTAAAGAAAGGTGATTGAAAATTAACATTTTTAGGATCTGCAAAGGCTTAAACGTTAAAAATAAGCTCAAAGTTGTCTAAAGATTATGAAGTTGTTCCAAAGCAAAGACGGTAATAAATTGAGAAAGTTGTAAACACATCGAGAAGTCTTAGGTTTGTTAATGGAGTTCCAAGTAGGTTAGGAAACTGCTAGAAGTTTCAAATAAAGCTTAATGGCTACGTAGATTTTCCTCAAGCGTTTTTAAATTCCAAAGGAAACAGGAAATAAACCAACCTGATGCCTGGTCTTCAGCTCCAACCGAAAACGAGGGATTTGGTAGATTTGAAGATTGCCTTTGACTGGAAGAGTCTCGAGGATCGAAATTATGAGATGCCGACAAAGCAGTAACTGAAGAATTCACGTTCGCCCTAAAGAACGCTTCCATGGGGAGACGTTCTCGAAGACGTTGCCACTGATCAAGTGACCGACCAGCTGCAGAATTCGTAGGCAGACGAACAACTGGAATGTGTTCAAAGGAGGGATCCAGAAGGGGTTCCAAACGATAAGCAAAAGGATCGGCAAGACTAAAAATGTTGAATATCTGCTCACAATTCGGCCGTGCCGGTGCTAGTTGGCTATCTATCGAGGAAGAGTAAATAAAGACCACTTAGTAAAGAAGTGAATTCAGAATGATGACACTAATAGTGAAGTCCTCACCAAGATAAGGAGAATTAAGACCCAATTGCCGTCGAAGGGCAAGAAGCAGACCCAAGGGAGATCCGAGGAAGAAGACATCTTGTACCTAACATCAAAATATGATTAAAATGACACCAACAATCAAACAGAACTTAAAGAGATAACACACCACTTACATCAAATAAAAGAGACGGTCCATCCTGAACTTCTTGTTTGTGGATATTTACCATGTCCGTAAATGTATCGGACTAAAATATATGATTAAGTGTAAACAATTCTTCGTGAAAAAAGATTACATGAGATGCACTTTTTACCCAATAGTCTATGATTTATAACTATAATCGAATACACGTGCCTAGAAATCTCAAACCGAGATTTCATAATTTAGGAAAAGAAACTGCAATCCGCAACTACGATAAATACACTGACACGGGTTGGAAATTTAATGAGAATGACGGTGGAAATTCTCACGGAGAGCAAAGCCTAAAATTGGGAGTAAAGGAGAAAGTCTATGGCACAATTGTTTACAAAAACATCGCTTTCGCCATCCATATTCTTTATATCATTAGACAAGTAAAAAACCATTTATTGAAGAAAACAATCCTTCGTGTGTTGTGGGTTCGATAATCGGCAAATGATGCCATAGCTAAAAGGCGAGGAGAAATAAATCTTAAAAGGTTCCAATAGCATACCAATCGTAGTAGTGGGCACTTTTAACCAATCATCCCAATAAAGGAAATAAAAATGACACATGCCAAACACTTTTTGTGCGTCCAAAATAATTTGCACAGCTCACCTTCCTATTCTCAGGTAGATAAACGCAGTTACATTAAATAAAACGTAAGATGAACTGGAGTCAATTAGCAAAGTACGTTTCTTAAACACTGCGCACTTGAGGTGAAAATAAGATCTTACTACGGCCAAGCAGTCAACTTAACGGCTTAAACTCAGCAAGCAGTAATAGATCGAGCAATCAATAGCGGCGAACAAAAGATACCACCATTGGCGTTAACATTGAACATATCGAATTTCTGTTCATTGCAAATCAGATATTGATTATGGTAATGGTTGAACATGATATTATGAAGTGTTTAGTCACCAAAATGGTAATTATGCGAGCAAATTAACCTGGTAAGATTATCGAATTTGGGAGTTATGAGTGATGATGGCGGTTGGAAATTAGCTCAATAAATTTACAATATAAAAAATTAATTTTTAAGTAAATTAAAAGAGATGTAAAATACGCGTTTAAAAGAGGGGTTGGAGAGCACGAGAAGATCGTAGACCATGATAGAGCTAACACAGTCAGCAACCACGAAAACGTTCCCACTGAAGTGAATTCCATCCATGGAGTTACGGAACTCCACATATCGTTCATTCAGGAGTTGGGCCAGTTGGTTAATTTCCTGAAGGATAAAAAGGGACATTACATACGAACTTTACGAAAATATTAACCAGCTCCATTTATGCTAAAATTTAAAAAAACATTGCATTGTCCTCTTCACTACTTGAATGCAACCGACTTTGCACAGTGAGGGTGACCAACCACGACCAATGAATTTTGGAAATAACTAGTAGTATTAGCACAAAACGGCGTCAATTCCAAGTTATTTTTCGCTGTCTTTAACTTAATGCGCGAGTAAACGTTCTTATAGATTGATTACCCTTCAATTACTTCATTGCTGATTTTCACAGGCCCTCTCTAGCCAATCAGCAACTACTCTCATTCGATGTATTTCATTTCTAGGGGATTCATTTAGGCTAAATCTGCTTTTCCTTCCCATTAGATGTACGTCTGCCTGAAACTTCGTAAAACACTGAATGCACTGTCGTCTAGAAGTTCTGTAGGCTCTTAGACCAAAAACTATGCATTTTATTATCGCCGCCTTCATTTCGGTCATATGATTTTTGGTTCAGGATAATCACCCTCAAACCTCTGAGCGAAACATCATATATTCAAATTTGATTCCAAAGAAAGACCTCCAACACCAATTTTAGTTTAAATTCTGATTTAATGCCTACTGAAGGAAAGTCAAGTTTCTTTCTTCCGAATATTGTTTCATTTCCTTACCTTGTCTTGAATCACTCCTGTGTATGGCAAAGAGGGAATACGCATTGTTTGCCAAGGATAATTCGATTCAAAAACCTCAGTTCAACGAATTTACCAAGACCCATTAGAAACAAATCGGACTTACTTTTAACAAAGTATCTTGCTTGAATTGATGGCAATTTCGTCGCGGTCAGTAAAGATTATATGGTATATACTAACATTCTATTGCAATCGAGTGGGACAATAACAAAAAGAGAAATCTTACTTGGGGATAGTGGGGTGAGGTGGTAAGAAGAATGGGAATGTTGCCGATTGGGATAATACTGCGCATTGCCCCTTTATTAACACCTGAGATAGCCGGCTCAAGAGAAGAAGGATCCAGCCTAGAACACAAGGATATTCAATTGAGTACTAAGTATCAAAAAAGGGGTAAAAAAGCCAGAAGCCTACATATTAAGCATTCTAAGAGCTTCAGTGGTCTGATATGGACATGGAACGAGTTGGGTGATAACTCGCGATTGAAGTCCAGGAAAGACATTCGACACTATCGACTCCAGAACGAACTTGAATGTGGAGTAATCCGCTTGTCTACTGGACTCCTCTGTTGCTTTCTCCTGTAAACAACCTACACATGGACCAAGCAGACAGGCCAAATGAAATCACAAAGAGAGAGATAGAGAGAGAGCGAGATTATGAGGTTGAAGTGTTAATAGTCGATTTTGGCATACCTCCATGAAGAACAAAAAGGAGGGCATTGGATTGAGAGACTTCTCCGGGTTTAGTAAAGTAGATACCTATATGGGGAAGTAAGAGGTAGGGAAGCAAGGTTTGTAAGGAGCATGAGAGGCAATAGAGCGCAAGAGGTCAGTTTAAACATAAAAGTTTAGTAATAGCGGTTAGTAAATTTCAAAGACAGTGTTTCAAGTGATTGAGAGATAGCAAATCAAAATAATGAACAAATTTATTGAAAATAAGTGATCAAAATGATGGCAGATGTGATATGCGAAGTCAAAAAAGGCAGTTCAAAATATGGTCATCAAGTACCTTCAGTTGCAGCTGTGCATACATCAGTCGAATTCTCACCGCTCGTGTTTATGGCTAAGCATAAATAGAAAAGGGCTCTTTCAATACAATAAGTCTATTTAAAAATTACATGGAAAAATAATTTAAAACAGCCAATCGATATCACTATAGTGTTTTCAAAATATAGTGAACGTGAAACAACTAAAATACACCTCGAATGGAGAGAAAAACGCACTTGAGTGCATATGTCCAATAGGCAAAAGCAATTCAGAAAAAGGTTTTCATGAATGGAAATTACGAGCGCTCAACTCCATTATCCTCAACTCTTTTTCACCGATGAAACCAACCGATGCTCTTAGTGTAGTTATAATAATAAGAATAGTATTAAAGTGGGGTGCGAAATTGACTGACCTCATGAGGTGCACCCTGGGCGACAAATACCATACGGCAAAAAAGTCAGTAATTTGGCAGTTGACTTCAAACTACCATGACCCGACTGTATGTCATATTCGACCACTTCCGCGATACTCATCTTTCCTTTTTCTCAACAATATCTGTTTACATCTATGAAATACTCTTCTGTTCCCCTCCCCCCCCCATCGACTTTTTGTGACCTTGATGTTCCCACACCCCCCCCCCTGTGAAGCCCAAAGTCAACTAAAGGGCTAACGATACCTATCATAAAGCCTGCCATTTGATCTAAATAAAAAATGTTAATGTTTAGCCCTTCATTCCAACATAAGAGAAACTGAAATTATCGTGGCATATATTTAAATAAAAAAGAATTCTTCCCGTGGTCATGTGCTAAGCAAGTCAGCGTTCAATCATCACTTATTACCAAACCAACGGTTTTGGGTATATTTTTCCCATTTATAAATGTAAAACACATCTTCTGCCAGGTATCAGAATTGTTGATAAAGAGAGCAATATTTTGATGGCTACTTTGAAAACTTAAGAAATAATTAAGATTAAACGTACATTAGCTAATTTTCCAAGAAACAATCACAAAAAAGAGCTTTTGGGTATGAACAAAGAGGAGATACACCCACCATTTTACCCTTCTCCCAGTATCGACTCTTTAGTAATTATTACTTAATTACCCTGCCTACTCCAACAGAGCCCACAGGCCTTTATCCCAGTTCTGTTCATAACTCCTCATTGGCCTTCAAGACATCAATCGAATTTTCCCCAGCTAAATAACAGATGCGTAAATTGAATGCCTATTGAACCGAGTTTCCAGTTTGGTTATTACTAGCACTATCTCTCCCTCTTCAAGTTTAAATACTCCGACACCATCCCTTTCCTTCTTTCCTTGTGGTAATGGAGTTACTAAAGCTCTCCTACGTTGATTGCTTCTAAATTAAAATCTAGCCAGAAAAGAGATTACGAGTAAGTTTTATTTTGCCACTGCACCAGTAAGAACTAGAGGCTTTCATTTCAAGAAGTCAAAATCAACACATTCCGGATGTAAGTTAGAGCAATCTACTTGAAAGCTAACGAGATGGCCATCAAATTTACAAAGTATAATTTTAAGACACACCTAGTGTGACAATTGTAGACTAAGATAAACAAGTAAGAAACAATTATGAAAAGTGAAGAACTTACATTGGGCATCGAAAAAGTCTTCGTCATCTACATCTGAACCATGAAAACTTTGAAACATGGAGGCTAAAAGGCAAAATTAGAGAAATAAACGTCTATTCGCCAACTCAGCAATTATCAACCCCCCCCCCCCCCTCCCCCCACCTACCACCTTGAATAAATGAAAAATGATGCATAACTGGAAAGAAGTAAGTTGACATTAGCCATCTGCTACTTCACTTCTAGGTCTTTTTGAAGAGAGAAAAAATCGAAACATATATTTTGCGAAACAGTAGAAATTGCAATCGGTACGAATGCGAAAAGTTGTCAGAGTGGCCCATCACAAGAAACTCTAAGCAGATATCGAAAGAGCTATAAAGAGGGTTAAATGATAATGATAATACGCAAAGATACAAGCGATTCAGCCGGAAGCGATTAAGGATTAGAAAGGGATAACTTACCGCGTTCGGTCTCTGACGCAAAGCTCAAACAAGATCCGAAGTTCAATGAATGGGCTATTTCATCTCCTTTCTCTTTACCGTCAATTTTCTGCTTCTTGACATCCTTCTACAAAGACAACATCTCAAGATTGAGCAGGATGATGGAAGAATGCATAGCTTAACTGTAACCATGTCGCTCTCCTAAACTGATCCACTCAATCATTACCATTTGCAATTAGCCTTAAACTTACGCTAGCCCCATTTATTCAAAAAAAACTAAATCATTCCCAATTACTTCCATTATCCATCAACAATCTTGTTCCCCTTTTATAACTCAGCTTTGAGAAAGCGGTTAGAAGACAAAGAATATTAAAAGGTATGCTAATGATCGAGGTTAGACCTTTAAGTCTTACGAAAGTCTAACTACTCTGAGAATGCCAATAATCTTATTTGAAGGTGAAGTTGTCATTCATTAACACGTTCACTTCTAACGTGGCATGATAAAAGTGCTTCTAAAAATACAAAATAAAACTATTCTTAATTTGAGTGAAGAAAAGGTAGTATAAAGTCTACAAGTAAAATGCATGTAAGAAATTATCATCTAATAATCCATCCATTGGCCAGTTCGCTTTATTTATTCGAGGAGTGATTGAGAAATAAGCGTTATTAGGTATTAATCTCATATTTGGCAAACGAGTATAACACGAATGCAATGGGGACGAACAATAATCTTACTTCTGTAATTAAATTAGTGACCAATAAGCACTGAATATCGTGGATAAAATTTAAAACTACTTAGTAAATATTAAAGCGACCGAAACCAAAAAAAATAAATGGCTTTTGACGACAGTACTGTCGCTTTCGGGCACCATTTTGACAGCCCTTCCCCTCAAATATTTATTAGACAAAAGTGTTAGCCGATTAATGCTGTCTTTTTTTCAAATATGAAAGATTGAAAATTTTTTATGCCTTGGTGTGAATAATATTGATTATATGCATGAAAAAAATGAGGAACTGACACATTCGGTCTGAGAAGACAATTGCTGTTGATTTTGTGGCTGTTGGTCCTGCTGGAGTACGTGATTCCCATCGGTTGAAGGAGGTGGAGGAGAAATAACCAGATCAGGTTCACATCGGCCCACCTTCATGGCAAGGAGCTTAGCGGTTTCCGCTTCAAGACGTCGAATGTCCTTCATCGTGAGACCATACCACTCGTCCTGCCATGTCCAGGCTTGTCGATGGGCATTGACCATTGTACGACGAAGTGCTGGATATTACAGGAAATATAAAAGCAATTGCAGATTCCAAACATTAAATAACATATGCTTATCACTAAACGGTTTTAACTTCTATTCCACATTATAATGAAGTTGTCTGCTTAAAGGTAAATAACAGTGAAAGAAAAATATACTTAGTAATAGTGATTTTCAAAGGAAATAGAGAAGATTTATTAATTTATATCAAACGGCAAGCTCTATGATAGCTATCATTAGCCCTTTAGTTGACTTCGGGCTTCACAAATAGCAGTACATTAATTTATATCAAACGGCAAGCTCTATGATAGCTATCATTAGCCCTTTAGTTGACTTCGGGCTTCACAAAGGGGAGGGGGAACATCAAATTCACAAAAAGTCAAGTGGGGGGGGGGAGGGGAGACAGAAGAATTATTCGTAGATGTAAAAGAGACAGACAGGCAGACGAAAAGATAAGGAAAAAGGTAAGGTGAGTACTGTGAAAGTGGCCAAATATGACATACAGTAGGGTCATGGTAGCTTGAAGTCAAGTGCCGTTTAGCAGACTTTGTTGCTGCATACGTATACGTTGCCCAGAGTGCACCACATAGAGGTAAGTCTATCGCACACCCCACAAATAGAGAAGACTTACCAAAAATTGAAAGTACTGTCCCTATGATAAGTTAGGGTCTAAGCTCAACCTGCGTCTGCGACCTTGTGTATTCGGTCGTGTAACGTACCATCTCTAGTATGCTAAAAATTATTTGAATTCTCATACACTCAAAATCGCTCAATCTCATAGACAAGACTCAGACTCTGTGTGGAAAGTGCTTAAGAGGTTATTGTTTAAAACTGCTGACTAAACTCTTAACTGCATAGAGGGAAAACCTTTATTTTAACTAATATTGTCATCATCTATTCTTTATAAGACCACATTGCTTTAGTGCATTCGTATATTTGCTGTCGCACACTTAAGCTTTAGACGTGAGTAATAAATGTTTATCCATCTCCATGAAGTGATAATGAAAAATTAACACAATTAATCATCCAGGTGAATGTGAATACGCCAGTTGTTTTCAGAGTCGCAACTATGATGTAAGCAAATCATGCATCACGTTATATGTTAACTAATAGGAAGTGTAGTAGCAGTAATAGAAGTATCGGGGTGTTCTGAAAGTCCGCACAAGCGAATAAAGGCTTAATTTAACCAAATCAATATGAGGCATTAAAAAATTTGTCGGAAATGCACGTTTTCATTATTAACGCTTAATCTAGTAAGGAACTTCAAAGTAAATTAATCGGCGTTCATTCCTCCACCGAACCCATGAATTTGGTAATTAAAAATGGGAAAAAACAGTAAAAAGGAGATTATAACCTGGTCAAAAGGAATGATAGAGCATCGTAATTGTGTCAAAATTTGTTGTATTTTGAAGAATTGCAGTAAATTGCAGTGCAGCACTCAAATCCCCAATACATAGCTACATAAGAACAGTTTCAATACATAGACACAATCCCCAGATATGCATTTACGGTTTGTCCAATTTGTTTATTTCCAAATGATTTGTAAATTTGAATGGGGGGGGGGGGAAGGGAGTGAGAATTCAGGCACCAATTCTAGGCCAAATATTCTTGCTTCAGCTTATTAAGAGTAAAAAATTGTTTATCTCAAACAGTATTTATTGAAACAAATGACGCAGATAAATGAAGTAAATGGTGCCATAACAACCAAATGAGATGAGCACAAGTCATCCAACGTGAATCGAACAATATACGCTTTCATGCAACAATTGAATAGGCACAACAATTGTCGTTCTAACCTCAAAATATACTACCATAAATATTAATGCTTAGTTTAAATAGGCCTGAACCAAAGTGTGAATTGATTTAATAACCCATAGTTGATAAAAGTTGAGACTACCTGGAAGTAACACAATTCCAAAGTTAAGAACTAGCTTCATCAGATTCTTTTAAAAAACTACCGTGGTACCATGAACAGGGTAAATTTACCGACTTCCTGAATGAAGCTCTCAATTTTGGACTGCATTCCCCAGTAGCGGAATTCCACACGACACACTTTGTACGAGCACATAATACGCATGGGAAGAGGTTGATCAACAACGCTCCCAGTGGAATCCGGCTTAGTTCCTTGATTGGGATATTTTCGCCCAGTTCGCATCGCTTCCTGAAACTCCGCCCGCCAATTATTAGGCAAGGGACCACGGCCTGTTACCTGAGAAACGTATGTTGAAGGATCCTCATTGGGTTTAGAAGGAGCTAGAGGGTCAGTCACGATATCGATATAGTCTAAGAAAAAAAAGAAAAATTCATTTCCCAAAAAAATCAGCAATATGTCATTGTAACAGAAAACGCGAATGGACACAGACCAACAATTCGAGCATTTAGATCTCCAGATGACAAGTTGAAGACATTCTCGCGTTCGCCAGCATCGTCCAAGTACATCGTCTCAATTTCAAGGGAAAATTTCTCCATGAATGGTACTTTGTAACGAGTTTTCGTGTAGGGGTAAGCATTCCAAGCTTCTTCTTCAACTCGGAGAGCTGTATCTGGAATTATACTGCGAAGCCAGCCTAAAAGACATACATTTTAACAAAATAATAAGCAATCTACTTTAAGACAGCCCCATAGAAGTCCTAACCTGGCAAATGACTCCCGATGTGATAAATCTTGAAGGTATATTGGCCACTTCCACCAGGTCCATCAGTATATGGCTCGTTTTTTAATATTTCAACACCACTCTCGTCACCCGTGCTTTCTTCTCGGGACTTTTTCTGATAATTAATTACATAGTGCCAGTTAAGGTCAGCCGATTAAAGCATTAAATTATAGGCCAAATAAGTTGACAAAAATAGTTATGTAACTACCTGAATCATATATAACTGAGCGATTCGATACTCTTCAACCGTCATCGGCATACATATTCGAAATTCTTTAATAATCATTTCAGTTGAATGAAAATAGCTTGATGTAAATCTGTGATTCCAAGTACAAAAAAATTAACAAAATTTATTTAAATATATATACAAGCAAAAACAGTAAATATTATAAAAAAGCATTTGAAAAAAATTAATACGTGATGAAATAAATTAATATGAAAGAAAAGTAGCGTTCGATTCAATTACAATGATATACATAAAGGCGATGAGGGGCAGCGCCAAAGAAGACCTATAGGCAAGCTAATCTATAATGCAATCGACGCGCGTATATGGCAGCTGTTATAAAATTTAACACTGGATTTCACTTTAGGAAATATTTAATAAAATCAATTATGAAACCTGGTTATACTTAATTATTACTAACTTTATCTTAATAATTTAACTGCGTCTGAATGGTAATTTTAGAATTTGAATAAACTTTGATGAACAAATATTTTTGTATCTAAACATTCAGCCAACCATTCCTAATTAGTCGCAGTCCTTATGTTCATTCCTCATTTCTTACTTTGTTTAATGAGATTTTTCAAATTGTCTCAAATCTAATATAAATGTTTTCATGTTTAATACTGCTGTTAATCAATCCAAGGTAAGAAACATAATTTAAAAAATTGATTTATATGAATAACACTTAAATGAGACATATCGCCTAATATTGAGAAGATATAAGAACTAGCTCATGAATTTGTGCCGGATTCGGGCTTGTGCATGTAATTTAAGCAGAAAGATGATTGCAATGGTCAAAGTTTGGACTTCCATTTGAGAATGTGTTTATATTAATGCGTTATTAACATGTTGAAAGTATGAATAAAATAAGACCAAAAATTCGGACGACAGGTTACGCAGAGTTTCAATATATACGTGAAAATAAATGCTAACCATGAAAACTCGAACATTTGAAATCTGAAAATAGTAGTTAGATATTTTGCTGTAGATTTACATTGTGTTAAAATTTTGTCTGAACCTTTAAGTACTGTACAAATTGGGGTTTTCGTCTTGTCTAACTTTAAATAATGTGTGCATTTCAAGTATTTGGTTTCATAGCCTTAATTTGTCTGATATCGACTCTTGGCAAGGAAATAAGGAAGTTACACTTTCAGCTAAAACATTTCTCCGGAATCTAAACATCAAGAAATTTCAGAGATGTTTATCGCTTGTGAAAATATTTCTACGGATTTTGTTGCTATTTCTGTATAATAAGGGAAAATATATAAGCTTCAATCTATGTTTAAACTATAATTAATTAGGTCTTCCAAATTTTAACGGACTGGTAAACTGACTCCAAAAATCAACAGAGCTACCTCAGCGATATCAATAAAACAGGAGGTAGGACTGGAACTACGTTTAATGAAGCTGTGATAACTATTTGGCAGGTCTCGTCACAATGAGAAAGTGCTAAAGACCTTAGTCATTATGGGCGTCTTAGAGTAAGCTGGCCCTATAATGACTATTGATGTTTAATTAGTTGAAATTTGTCTGTATTTGTGACCCAAATCACTTCCTAATGCAATAGGCATCACGGCTACACATTCAAGAAAGTTCCATTATGCACGAAATCGATTAGTCTAAGTATGATAAGGTTGTGCACTTCATCAAATTCATTATTCAAATGAGCTATTCCCCCAAAATTCTTCCCATCATCCGATAAATTTCTCAAATTTGAAAATAATACAAATTGAAAATTTCTAGATCACTTAAATTTATTCGTATTATTGACCAGAAAAATTCGATTGCCCTCTTCAGTCTATCAAGCAGAATCATTAAGAAATGAAAAGACGTCAATTTGCAAACTTTGGTTTTCAATTTTCCGATAAAGATAATACATATTAACAAGAACTGAACCAAGATTCTATTAAATTCCACTCAATTAATTACCATCAATAATTACAATACTACCCATTTGAAGGCTGAAAATATGAGATAAAACTATGTCTAAGCCATAAAATATAAATAGTGATAGTTCAGCCATAATTTACCGAAATAAAGCACAATTCGTTAATAGACGCTTAATTGGACTATGGGCGATACATTATATTCAAATGAAGTTTGACCTGAAATTAAGTTAATCTTCCTTCGAAGGAAATGTAATAATAAAAAAGAAAAATTATAGTTATATCAATGGCAAATACAACAAGGTGGTTATTATCATTTTCTTAAAATTTCGTAATTCTTTTCGACCAATCGGAATCATGCGTTCGATTTAATCTTTGGTTTACGGAGCCTTGGGTTGAAACTCGGTTTTCTAGTTGAACTACTTAAAATGAATGGCGTTTCTCCTATCCCTATGGATGGTACAAAAATTGCCAGAATATTATAATTTTTATATTTTTGTAATCATCATTTTAATTAACTTAGTTTTTTTTACTGTCAAATGCGCGGGTACCAACTTGTCTAATTTTTTTGAAATTACAAACTTTCTATTTTTTAAAGAGGACCAAACTCGAATAAACCTTTCATGGATCTGCGATGATATAAAGCTGAATTTCACCAATCCTGCAGTTGAGGGTAGGTACTAAGAACCGCAGATTTATTCCTTAGGTGAAAACATATCTTGTGTGCAATATGATGGTAGTGGAAACTTTTTGGCTTATGGCGATAGGGGTGGAAAAATCTCAATTTTGAAAACGAATAATGAGGTAATTTCAAATTTTTCGTGTTTATGACCCGTATGTTTTTTAAATCTATTGTCAGTCTAAGAACTTCTAATTTATCTTTACTTAATTTTAGAATAAAAAGTCAGGTTTTCCTCGTTATGAGCCCTACTGCGCCTTCGTAAGCCATGAATCAGAATTCGACTACCTTAAGTCGCTTGAAATCGAGGAAAAGATCAACCGCATTCGTTGGTTACCTCAACAGAACTCTTCGAGGCACCTCCTTTCCACAAATGGTTTGTTCAGTTTCATTTTTAGAATTAAAGTTGCGTTTCGTCGTTAGTTGAATTTCCTCTTTTTTCTACGCTCTTGTTGGCATATCACTCTTTGTTTACGTCTTACACATTCTTCTTCGCAGGAACATTTATGTTCATGAGTAAAAATTAATGCTCACCGACTAACTCCAGTCAGGTGTTTTATTTTTTGTGCTTCATATTTACATTTAGTTCACTTTCCTCTACGTGCGCGTGCTCACTCATCTGGGTCAGCATATTTTTTCTTAATTCCCAATATGGTCTATTGAAGAATGTATTGAGAAATCTTATATTGTGTGAGATAATTATGACTGCGTCTGTTAGAGCTATTCTCGACATTACTGTCTTATGTGGATCGTTTGCACGTTTTTCGGGTATATTTAATGTTGAATTTCAGTAATAGTGATTACAAATAAATTATAGTTATTGGGCTTTGGTTTTTACTTTCCTTTTGTTGCACTTAATCGAGCACTTTATATATCTTTGCTTTCGGAGAAGCCAGTTAAGCTTAGCATCCAAACTTATCTACTCGCTAATTTGATTCTGGTTGATAAATAGCTTCTATGAGGAATGTATTACCCCTCTAACTTCGTAGTGTTCAGCTTCGATTGATTTGCGTCAAAAAATTAGCTTTGTACCCATTGTATATCCACTCATGATTTTATGAATTCTCCAGTAGTTTCTTTTGGGAATAGCTCAAATATACTCTTAATAACCAGTCCGGACCATATAATTTGGGATGAACGACTTGAATGGACGGTTAGTGATGACAGAATTAACAACAAATAAGTATTTCTGACGTTTCATTGTTGAAAATAAGGTGACGTTTATAAACTTATCAATAAAACAAGATGGTCTATTAATGAATGGACAAATTTGATAAGTGATTACAGCCTGAATGGTCTTAGACTGCTTGTGTTATCATTACTGTATATATGTTATCTTCACACTATCAGATTTGCTGGTCTCCTGCATTTACTTTTTCTCTATTAAATTTTTTTCAACCTTAGATAAAACAATCAAACTATGGCGTCTTTCGGAGCGTCCAAATCGGTCTTCCGAAACGGTTTATCGAATTTCTAGACGTCTTACCTCAATGGCAACACAAGAAGGCGACGAGGAAGTCTTCGAAGAGGACCTGAATACAGGTACAGGCGGTGCTGGTGATGTCCCGGCTTCACAGATTTTGGCGCCTCGACGTATTGAGGCTGCAGCTTCAGTAGATACATCGGTAGTGGCCCGCTGTCGACGAGTCTATGCCAATGCACATGCCTATCATGTAAATTCAATCTCCGTCAATTCGGACCAGGAAACATTCCTCTCTGCAGATGATCTACGCATCAACCTCTGGCACCTCAATGTCAGCGATCAATCTTTCAGTAGGTTCTCTGGTGTATTCATATTTGACCTGTTGGAGCAATTGGAAGGGATTGTGACTTAGGAGTCGCCAAAATAGAATGGGCAAATCTGTTTATCTGTTATATTTTTTTATAAATTTCCACGAAATTTATCGCATGCAAAATAATACGATGATCACAAATTTGGTATTTATGTGTTTAATAAGGAAGCTTTGCTAGTTTGTCTATTCGATATCTTGTAAACTTGAAAGGCTGATACAATGGTACAACAAATTCGATAACAGAAAAATTCATGATCACGCAGTTATTAGTCGCCTACCAATTTATTACTACTTCTAGTGCCCAAATTACTTTTTCTGCCAGCTTGGGTTGTGTCTGCTTATTTTGGTTTATGTTTCTTAAATTTGGAGAATACTGCGTTAATTTTGTTTTGAATTGAAAATTGCATGGAACTCCGGAACTAAGAATACAAACATACTAAATTTCATTTACTTGTAGTCTCAGTCATTTTTTCTTACCTCCAAATATTTCTCTCAGTTCTTTTTAACCAACGACAGCTTTATTTCCTTGTTTTTCACAAGTTACTTTCAATTAGTAAATTCTGATTTGTTAGATTTATTGTCGATATGCATCCTGCTACCAACTTCCAATAATATGTATTTGACGCAACCTTTGCATTTTCTACAGATTTTAACCCTTTAGTCTATGGTATATAGGTAGAGTAGAGTTACTGCAACGCTAAAAGAACCTACTAGAACGATGTATTAACTCATTTTAAAAATTTTGGCTAATTTAATTGCTACTAATCTTTTTAAATGCGACAGAGAAGACATTGCTTTCCTATTCATTCATCTGAAATTTCTCGGAACCTGTGGAGAGCAATCTCTGCTTACATCAGAGCAAGTACTACCACAGTGATTCTTTACCTTTGAAAACCGGTTTCTGAATGTTATAGTAATACTTTCTTGAAAATTTATCATAGTTAAAGTCGATTGGGCGAACATAAAATTACTCGTTAATTTTCATTTTACCAGTGCGATTTGTGCACGAAGGTATGGAGGAGGGTATAATATATTGCTGTATTTCTTGAAGAGTGATTATACTTCTAGTTCGCGATCCAACTGGAGTCATTTAATCCCTAACATCTTCAAACTATCCTATCTCTACGCTTACAATTGGTTCTTTTCGATCGCCATGAACTTGATCTTCGTCGCATCGTTATTGTTTTTTATGACTCTCATTCTCGTCTAGCAAGGTTTTCCCATCTCTCTATTCCAGCATCAAGCCTCATTCCTTAACTGGTTTTAGCCGATTAAGTTCATCTTTCCACTCACTTGCTATTCACCTGTTTCAGTATTGCTAGCAATCGAATTTCATCTCTTTTAGACATTGTTGACATAAAACCAGCGAACATGGAGGAGCTGAGTGAAGTGATTACCTCAGCAGAATTCCATCCCACAAGTTGTTCTCTCTTTATGTACAGCAGCAGCAAGGGTATCATTCGACTTTGTGATATGCGTCAACAGGCCCTCTGTGACAAATCTGCTCTTAGTGAGTTACTTTTCATCGTTGTATTTATGTATAAAAAACTGTATTACGGAACTTATCTTACTACCGTCATCATGTTCATATGGCCACCGTTTTTTAGCATGGCATTTGACACTACTCAGATTGAGTAGAAGGGCAGGTTCATGTTGCTTCCCTGATTTAGAACTCGAATTTCGCTACGCTTTATTACGCGGATTTAAACAGTACGGTTGGCCATCCACTTCATTGGAAACTTATAATGGATATCATGCCCACAATCTCTTACATCGCAGACGGACGTGCTGACTCCCCACAGTTTCGTAAATATTATTTGTGCTAATGGTGTTTTAACCAAAATAAAGGCCATCAATTCAATTTCCATTGTCATACCCTGAACGGTTTGATCAACTATGCATCCATTTGTGATCGAGTTTTCACGAGATCGATTATCATAGGTGCTCGTCTACTAATGTGGCTAACTACCACACTCCCTGGTGAATAAGAAAGATGAGTAACTGTTATCCTAATTGTTTTACAATGCCTTCTTTCGCTCAGATCAAGCATTCTAAACAGTTTTCTCGGTTGACTTGCTAAACACTATCGTCTGATGACTTTTTCCCTTTTGGGAGGGTTGTCCATTTTGTCGACGAAATTACTAAGGTGGGAATCGTGTTTGTTAATTAAATGTGAGTCATCGCGTTGAGGGCTTCATCAGTATCACAACGCATTCGCTTGCCTCGTTGGCAAACATTCAGGTCTCGGTACACGCTTGATGAGATGCACTTTTTTCCCTCCTGTCCTCTTCCAATGGTTGGCCAAAGGTAATTGGTCTTATTTAAAAAGCTGCATTTTGGAGTATGCCTAACGAGTTTATTAGTCTGTGCTAAAATGGAATAAAAAGTAGTGTTTAATCATTGCCAACTGATATTATGGTCTTAAAGCTGTTGGCACTTTCAAATGTTTATCTAATATGATTTGGTCTTCTTGTGATCTATTGATCATCTTACTCATTTTCCAAATTAAATCACTAAGCCAATGGTTTATGAATGCACATATAACCAAGCGAATGACCCACCGCAGTGAATTCTTGAATATTAACAAGAATGGTCTTTGATTTACCACTGGAAATGTGTTTCTTTGCCATAACCTTCTTGTTGCTTAGATAACTAGCTAATCTGTTTGTTCCATTAGCTAAATTCAAGGTCAGCTTTGAAGGCAAGGCGATTCTACTTCAAGTATTGTTTTATTTTCTCGAAGCCGGTCATTAATGTTACCTTGGTGACTTGTTTTGCATTCCCCGGTTTCTATATATTTATATGCCCTTGACCATTTCTTTTGCCACCTTGCTTTGCAGCCTTCCAAGAAGTAGACGCACTGGAAAATCGTGGCTTTTTCTCCGAGATTGTCAACAGCATAACAGACCTGAAATTCAGCAATTCCAACCGATATGTACTAAGCAGAGACTACTTAACTCTAAAAGGTTTGTGCCCTGGATGTGTGTGGTTTAAAGTTAATTGATTTGTGCTGACTTGTGTTCTTTTTTTCGTGCTATTTTAGTTTGGGATATGAATATGCCTACTGGACCTGTGGAAGTTTATCATGTGCACGACTATCTCAGGAGTAAATTTGTAGCCCTCTACGAAAACGATTGCATATTTGATAAATTTGAGTGCGCTTGGTCCCCGGATAATAAGTAAGTGACTTTCACGTGATAAATTTATTTTATGCAATTGTTCAATGAACACTTCATTACAAATGCGGATTTGGGAGGGATAGTGTGTATTTCAATATCAGTTGTTTCTAAGACGATAAAATGTGGGAAATTTTACGAAAATCTAAATGTTTCCTGGGGCAGTTACTTAATTTCGCATGGGCGCTAATTTCTTCATTAGTCATTTCCATAATCTAGCTGGGCTTTTAATTTAAAAATACCAAGTGGTGTGCTTTATGATAGCTATCATTGGCCTTTTAGTTGACTTCAGGCTTCACAGAGGGGGGGGGGGAGGAGGAGGAACATTAAAGTCACAAAAAGTTGAGAGAGGGACAGAAAAGTGATTGACAGGCGTAAGAGGTAGATACGTAGGTAGAGAAAAAGGTAAGGTGAGGTGAGTACTGTGAAGTGCTGGAATATGACATACAGTTTTCGTATTAGAGTGAATAACGACTTCGAACTGAGAGGTATGTTCTGTTTGTTGGCATAGGTCATATTTTGGCGTATGTTTTCCCAGTTTCATATACATCCCGCAGAACACAAGAGGTTGTAATATTATATTCGATTTAGAACGCTTGATTGCGGTGTACATCTCTCAAGAGTGGTTCTTTACCATCAGACTACTTCGTTTCTTTTCATTAGCAGTAAATCGCAGTCCTTCTCTGAATAACGCGCTTGCATTATGCATGCCTCGTGGAACAAACTCATTAACCATTATTAGCTACTTCCTGTTTGAATGGAAAAAAAGTTGATTTACTGTTCCAGATTTTGGGAGATAAAATTGAAGTGTGTGTATGTGATATCGACCCTTTTTTTCTAAACTTATTTCTAGCATAAGTTGTTTGATCCTGTTTGAACCAGTTACCTGCGTGAAAGCACTGCTGATCTCTACCCTTGCTCATTATGTTGACTTTGTGTCTCTAGACTATTTTATGTCATTAAAATTAAGCTAAAAGGGTGTTCATTGGTGTTGTATATGAATGGCCGTTTATTTGTGCTTAACGGCTCGTTTTTCATAAGGTGGATATGCTGATTGACATTAAGATCATTGTTTGGACTTTTACTGATGTCGTTTTCGACAGTGCTTTCTTTGTTTCATTTATTGCTTCCTTTGCTGTTCTCATAAAATGTTGTAATCAGCATGTCTCTCGTGTTTACATTTTGCATATCTTGGCAAAGAACCCCCCCCCCCCCCCCAATTATTGCAAGAGTTACTTTTCATATAATTTTCGTTTCGTCAATGTTTCCTTTTAGCTGAAACATTGCTCACTTTACTTTATTTGACAGTCATTTCATTATTCGTTTAGTTTATTACTTGTGAAATCTATTCGCACTTGCCGAAGTTTTTTAAGCTTACGCCCCTAAACCTTACGTAATTTTCGTGATTTTTAATACGCTTCTTGAAGGACAGGATCAATTGGGCTATGAAATCTCCCTTATTTTTTACGAATACTTGAAACGTAACTTGTGTGCACTTTAGTTTGTGTTCTCTTCTGTTGACCTATTTTTTTTTTATATTGTCCGCACTTCACCTGGACTAATATCTATATAATTAGGAAAGGCATCTTAATGGAGAGAGGGGGGAATACAGATTTGTGCGAGACCTCAATATGTTTTTTTATATTATCCTGTGTGTCCCCAAGACGATGAAGAGGAATGGATCGCTAATTGCCTGTCGGGGAAATGTAACCATTGTAATGAGAAGAGTCATTTCGCTAAGTTTATTATTATTACTCACCGTTCCACAATAAATGTACGATTTTTAGTTGTTGAAAGCACATTTGAAAACGATTAACAGAAAGTTCCAAAAAAGGCCAAAGGGAGGGGGGGGGTCTAAAGGAGATACCCTGTGCACCATCTTGCTAGTTAAAAGTGTCATTGCATTAACTTTTGACTCGGATTATGCAGCATTTGCTAATTGCGTACCTGACGTTCCAAAGTTCAAATTTTATCGTTCCTCCTTTAGTCTGCAGCAATTGTCAGCACTTATTAACTGTGATTTTGATCAACATTGGTCGACCTTGCCGCTATTTCTTTCTTTTCACCACGTTTGTTATGAGGGTGGATTAATCTAAAATGATTGTCAGCATCTTTTGTCTTGAGACGTTGTCTTAAGATATCTAAGGCGAGATGTCCACAAACTTTGTCTTATCGGAGACCCCAAGCTTTCTCTACTCAATTGAATGCTCTGAATTACTAGCAACCTCAATAGAATCCTATTTCTTAAGGCCCACATAATTTTAACTCTAATAAGCATCTATGGCCAATCTCCTCTTGACGGTCATAGGAAACGATTGCGTTGTAGTAGCATGATCTTTCACTTAAATCAATTGACCGATCGGCCTAGCATCACGAAAACGAACGCTTATACATTTGTTTCAAATCCTGAAGTATGAAAAATTCTAATGACGACAAAGTGAACTTTACTGGAAATAAAGATGCGCATAACCTAATGAATCCAGAATTATAAATAATTGTTTGTAATTATGAATTTATTTTTATTATTAATTAATTTACTATTATTGACCCTTATTTGTTTTCGTGCCCTTCAGATGCCTTCTCTTGGCTAAAATAGTTTTTGTTTCTTTAATGTTGATACTAATAAAATGCACTTTTTTGCGTTAACATCACAGGTCCTGCATACTATAATGCGTGCCATCAAGTTAACCAGTGGTGGTGGGTCGTTATTCGTGTATTCGTTAAGGTCGGAACGTAGTTTAAAGTTCATTTCTTACAGCTTTACGACATTCTTTCCCCAGAATTGACGTTCCTTTTCCAATCAGTTAGGCTTTATTGCGGCTTTTAGTGGTGATAACCTATTTACTTTTCTAGCCCTTATAGTAGGCTGCATTGCATTTAGTTGCTTGAGTTCTTACGATTTAGAATTCGGTAAACTCATAGTCAGCATTAACTCGGCTGAATTTTGTACAAGTTCACTTCCAACTTTTGAATATTTTTCCCATCCTCTAGCTACCTCATCACAGGTTCCTACAACAATCTCTTCCGAGTATTTGATCGATCCTCTGGCAGAAGTGTACTGATCGAAGCGGCTGTTAGTTCCCACTTGGTCGAAATGGCTAATTCTTCGGACGCTCTGCGCACCCGTGAAGTCACAAGTGATCCCGTTGCCATCTCTGACAATCAAATTAGTGTCGACTCAATCGATTACTCCAAGAAACTCCTCTACATGGCCTGGCATCCCTCTCTTTCTCGAGTTGCCATGGCTAGCAACGACTCTCTCTTCATGCTTTCCTCGCAAGGTGAACAAAGTTGAACTGAGTGGAGCGAAACATGGTTAAATATTTTGTTTACTGAGATTCCCCCCCCCCTTCCTCATTTGTATACTAATTCATTACCTTTTGAAATGTTCTCCCTAGTGCTTGTCAAACCATCCTCCCCTCCTCGATTCACAAAAAAATGTGTGTGGTCAACGTTTTGCTCAAATGGTGGGTGTCGCTCTTGAATATTCGAGTCTCCTCTCCCGTTTTGACCCTTACTTCTCTGCCTTGTCCCTTTTCCACCATCTCCTTCCCCCCCCCCCATCTTGTATACAAGTGTTTATGGTTTTAAATGTGTATCTTCAGTAAAGTAATTGATAAAAACCTTTTTTGCTGATGGAACTCCTTCCTTCATTCATCTTGTATGGGAGTTGTATAGAAGGGGGAGGCGGGGAGGGGAGGATGATTAGCTCTGACAGCCAAACACTTGAAATGGTTCTTTTTTATTTGCATCCTATGTATGTGGGAAGTAGAGTATTATTTTGAAACTTATTACGCGAAACATCGCCTTCATGAAAAATTTGTGAGCTGTTCCGGAAATGATGTCTGGCTATTCCAGAACTGAGGGATTAGAAATTCATTCGTTAGCTTCATTCTTAACCACACTACACTTGATAGTCTCGTACCAATGTAGACAAATAGGTTGCTCACTAACCTCTGCAGCATCTGTGGTGAGAAAGACCTCACTACACTGAATTCACGAAAGTCTCTCATGGTACGCATTCTGAGGGCGTCTATTTGTAACCTGGTATCAGGAGTTCGAAGTAGAATATAAGGATAAATTTTTTTCTGAAAAATCGAGGAAGTCAACAATCCACAGGAAGTAAATCTCGACTACAACAGAATTGTTCTTCCCTGTGAGAATCAAAATTTTGCCCACAGCCGGCCGACAAAATTCTTTCAAGTTCTTCCAGTAACAAGACACCGAAAAAACGTTTATGAATATTATTTGCACGGAGAACTTTATCATTAAAACCACTGACGAGTGACTAGCCCATTTGTGGGAGTTAACTCTTTCTACTAGTAGGAAGTTTACCAGTTCGAACTCAATTGTGTCCGATTGCTCTTCACATGCGACCTTTTGACATATCTTTGCATGGTAGCCGAGGCAAGTGGATGTTCGAATTAACATGCGAACTAATGTATCGACTTCATCATTCACAGACCAAAGGACATCAAACCGAATCTAGACCTTCTTGATAACATTCTCCAAAAAAGCATTTCCCCGCAAATTAAGCATTACTATACGAGCACTCCGATGAGCAATGAAGAAATTTTTGAAACTTCCCGTATGGGATTAAATGTCAACAGTGAGGATAAAATTCAAACTACAATCGTAAAGGGCTCATTGAGGATATATTGTTAGTCGTTGGTTTTGAGGAAGAGTGAACCAGTGCAAAGTACTACTCTCTTTTCAGCTCACTTCAATGTCGATCTTTTGGTGAAATTCCTAATAGATATGCGGTTTTTTGTAGAACTAATTTCTGAGAGTTACTTAACTTACTGCCAATGTCGCGATAACCAATTAGACGCAAATGCTTGCCTGTGATGTGGAGTGCTTATTTACTGATTTTTTTTACTCAGGAATGCTCGGTAATAACGCTTCGCTACATCCTTTCAGATGATTGAGAAGGCAAAGGAACCTGGTAGTTACCAGAGGAGTGTCCACTCTAAATGGATATCGATAACAATGGTTTTAGTGAATTTTCAACAGGGGAATTAAGAACAATGAATGCGCGTCTTGTCCATAATCAGGTGTAAATTCTGACAGAGAAATTCATTTACCGGAAGGATAAATATTTGCTGAAAGGGATTGATTCAGAACCAAGGCACAATTATTTTCGCATTGTTCGATCCAGTCGGTGGAAAGAAATGAAGGGTTGGTTCAGCCGGTTGTTTGTTTGGCCTTTAAAACAAAATTTATTCTGACTGATTCACAAGGGTGAGATTATCACCCCACACAATATCGATAATCAATACCCAATGTAGGGTGAATGAAGGCAGCGAAATTCATTCAAGTGCACTGAGAGTATATCATTTTGCTCTATAACTGGAGAGAAGGAATATATCAATTTTATTTACAATCCAATATGCAACATGAGGTATGAATTCTTGCCCTGTCAAGATTTCTGCTCGTGCCTAGAAATGAAATCACCTCACTGCTGAATTAGTCAAATTGTCATTGTGGAGACTCAAGTGTGTGCATGCGATTGCATTTCCTTAATAAATGAAAATTACCCGAAGAAGTGGGCATTACTCACTCCTTTCCCACTTAATGTAGCCATATTCTTAAGGTTTATTTGCTCGCTTCGAGACACCATAAAATAAGCTCCTTAACTACCCTTCAAATTGCTTTTTACATTGTTATTGGAGTACCTGTCTTGATCACTGCTTTCACCTCAAAAACTCCAAATCTCTCAACTGATTGAAGTTCGCTTTGATGTGGAGTTATGTAAACAAACTGCAACGTTGTAGATAATGTACCTTCAATGAGATGCGGAGTTGTATGAAGTACACTTGAGTTTATCTAACTTGCAATAACTATCTAAAGTCAATTCATAAAATAAGCGTTTTATTACCAAGTGGTTACGGTTTCCCTCTTAAAGTACACCCGCATACTTGATAGGATAGTGTGATAAGAGTAATGACGTATTGCGAATTTTGTTGATTTAGAAGTCTCCCAATAATAAACGGTGCTATATCGAGGGTAATCAATAAGGTCTATTGTTAGCCAAAGTGTATTTTGAAACATGCTAAGATCACGAGACTGCAAAAGATCAATTTAAGAAAATGAACTTCGAGTTTACAATTCAATTAAATAATACTAAAGTGGGATGCGCGATAGACTTACCTCCACGCGGTACACCCTGGGAAACGTATACTCATACGGTCAAAATGTCAACAAATCGGTAGATGTATTTTGACCAGACTGTAAGTCATATTCAACTCCTTCCACAGTACTCACCTCACCTCACTTTACCTTTTTCTCTACCTTTGTGTCCCTCTGTCTCTTTTACATTTGTGAATCAATCTTCTGTTCTTTCTCTCGACTTTTTGTGACCTTGATGCTCCTCTCTTCTGTGAATCCCGAAGTCAACTAAAGGGCTAGTGATAGCCAGCACATAGCCTGTCATTTGATATAAATAAATAAATAATATTGATGCCATTAAGAGACGACCAAAAGGTAAAATTGGTGAGTGTTAGATCACTAAGTCTTCACGATTGGTTTGGAGGATTTTCTTTCCTAAAAATTTCTTCTAACCTCAGTTAAGAAGAGACCTAATTTGTCACCGGATACACACCTTGATAACACTTGTCAACCAACGCTCTAATAGGAAGAGTTGGATTTGCATACAGTTACCTCAACGGTACAAATCTTGGAGAGGATGGTAAATGCTGTTCGATTAAAACAATCTATACAATATTTAGTTTGTTTAAGCACCGAAGTAAAATACGTAAACACCGTTATCACCTATTCTACCAATTATCTTATAAACAAATAATGATATTTCCGAATTTAAAGCTCTTATGCGAAGTCTCCAATGACGAGACACAGTCGAAGTAAGAGAAAATTGTATTTTCACAAGAAGTGACCTCCATAATCAAACACGCCATGGGATATCAACTAAAGGTGAGAATAGTAAAATCATCAAAAGATACATTAAATGTCGATCAATTTACTAGAAATTAAAACTCATTTGGCAGAATAGCACTGTGTCTTTCCAAAAGTTGGATGGATGCATGTTGGAGGTGAATTTAAATTTCATGCCTGATAATGTGACCAGGAAATACAAGCCAAATGTTTCACGACCTACCAGCCTAAGTAAAATCTAGTTGGTCTTGACTGGTTGAACAAACTAAAGCTGTTGAGAAGATGTAAAATGAGCATACAAGCTGCACAACTGAAGACAACAAACAATTCGAACTAGAAGAAACCGCAGACGAAATATGGGGCACCCGGAACCGAATCCTAGCATAGGCACAGAAATGAAACAATGATTGAAGATGAAATTCTTTAAGCAAACAGAGAATGAGGGCCTTCTATATGCTTTTAAGGAGTTCTATGTCGAAAACCCCAAATCAGGATAAATGACAAGGTGAAGTTTAGTGAAGATGGCGTGAGAAGTGTCTTGGACTTTTAATTAATTGTAAGTCGTATGCTTGTTTGGAAAGAAAATACAGAGAAATACTTAATGGTTCACCTAAAATAGCTTTTGAGATTGAATTTGTCGCTAAAGATAAATTTAGAAAACCAAGAGGACTTAAAGCTAACACGAAAGCGTGGATTATTAAAGCCAGATGTGTTAAGGCGAAAATGTCATTATGTGAGAAAAAAATATGTCCTCTTGGTAAAAGCAGCATTAGTACTTAAGCCAGTATAGTCCAATTGAACATTGTACATATGTTATTGGTGCGTTAGAATAGCTCAAGGTCACAATTCAGTTCTGTTTGTGTACTTATTCCTCTTGCTATATCTAAAACTAGGATATAGGGATTTTTTAACTATTTAACCTATGACTCATGCCAAAATGGTATCCGAGACACAAACTGTGCATTAGCGATATACTTTGTCGCAAACCGCAGCAAAACTATTTTTTATAGAAGAAAATCGTGTAGGCAAATAGAAATGTCTTCATCGTATAAGGATCTAAGTTTCTTATTTATAAATAGGCAAAACGAGCCTTCAGGGTGATAACGTTAGTGGGCCATTGCTTTGTTGAGATTCAGAAGGGAGAGGTGCAAGACCTGCCGACCAAACGAAGGATATTTTATCAGAAAGAAACCAAATTTGACTTCAGGCATTCGTATGAGTTTGTAATGATTGATCGCCTTTTGAGAAAATACACCAACGACGAGATTTCATCTCCTCATTCAATTGTTGAAAGTCAATAGTCGATAAAATTTTTTCAAGTGGCTGACTTCGGGCTTCACAGGGGGGGGAGAGATGGAACAGAAGAATGATTCACAGATGTAAAAGAGACCAATAAAGGTGGAG